TAATATTCTACCACACTGAGTCACGCATAACATTCTCCACACACAAAACCTACCAGGTGCAGTCCACTAGTGAGCAAGAAATGCTAGACAGCTGCTGTTACTCATTCAGTGAGAGGGAAACTGGGTGGGAGGAGGGAATGCGCCTGGGAGGCAGTTTCACGGCGACTGCTTCATATTTCCCTCTTAGGTTTCTGCAAGTTAACTTAAGGGTTCATAAAGTGCACCACATACCAAAGTTGCGTCCTTTCCCGAAAATCGTTGCTTCATGCGCTGTTCTTGCAATAAATATGAATTTCAGGTTGTGTGTGAACTGCTAATTATTGGAATAGTTACCATGATTGAATTTGAATAAAGTAGAACAGCTGAAATTTTATACTCAGATGCTGATTATTTCTGTCTATGTAAATTACAAAGCTGAGGTAAATGTTGATTTCCGATTCAATTTCATATCCAACCTACTTATCAGCATCCAATATTCAGTTTGGCAATTCAGCCAAGGTTACATCTGATACAAAATAGCATGTTATGGCCCTCGATGCCAAGCAGACACGCTGAATTGTGTTTTTGTGGCCAAACCAGCCCTTAACATCTGTTCAACATGTTAAATTACAACATATATGTGTATGTTAGTTTCAAGCTGGGCATTGGCATACCAAGGCATACTAAAAATCAAGCCTTAATCGGAATAAGAAAAAACATCAAACAGCAATTACATTAAGAAGCCTTCTTTCATTAGAACCACTCTTCTCACAAAGCTCTTGCCTCCAGGCTATGTATGGTTCCCAACAAGCTTGTCAGATTTACAGCTTTTGAAGCTGCAAAACCTGAACCATTTCTAAAGCCCAAACATAACCATTTGGTTTATGGGGCTTGCTGTCAGCACAATATGGTATGATATGAAGCACTAAGGATAGCTCATAAACTCAATTGAGGATGAAACAAGTAACATAACAGCTTCCAAGCTAGTTACTTGCACAGGCTAGCCATTAGGAACAGGTCACATTCACCTAATGACAGACAAGAATTGTGCAAAACAGTTCCTCAATGTTTCACATAATTGCACAAAACTGTTTCCTAAAGTGTCGGAGCAGAATGCTGGTATCTGTCAGCAGAAAACAGTGTCATGCCATTTAAAAGTGTCACAAGCAGGACAATGGTTGTATATACTAGTATCTACAACGGTGGCATATATCACTGGAACAATTGTAGCAGCAATGAAGTTCGAGATCTTATGACAGAGTTTTCATTACTTGCTCATAAGCGTTAATAAACAACAACGATCAAATGTACAATAAAACTATCATTATTTTAAAGGGGCTGGGAAATTTCTCTTCACTTTTATTCTTGCTTTTTAATACTCAAATATATTTCTATCTGATTGCTGGGTTAATAATTAGATCCATTGAGCGCACTGCAAATAACAGATAGTTCCAGATCCACCTAAAAGTGGCAACTTAAGACATTTATACTTTTGAGTGACAGGCTTTTGGAATTTTAATGGAAACCTTTAATTTATGATGATGCAATGTGCTTTGTCTTCCCACAAGAATTCACTGCGAGGATTCATCTTTCACAGACAATAAAACGAGCGAGAACTTTCCCCTTTCCAGTTTCATAACTGTGTTGTGTTTCATAATACGAGCAGAAATTGAACTAGCAGTGAAACGGTCTCCCTGAGGCACCACGCAGAGCACGGGATTATCTCTGCCCCCATTACCCTTTTGGATAAGGGGGAGATATCTCCTCACTTGCTTTTAACTCTTTACAATCCAAATTGCTAAGCTGACACTGTACTCTACTCATTTGAGTTCTGTGGACTCAAGTCAGCAATGTCATACCACTGAGGATTATTAGGGGACTTTGTGCTCTCTAGACTGCCACATCAGGTACTGTGACTGCATATTATACTTAAATACTTCATGTTGAAGCACCAACAAAACGGTTTCTATATTTGTAGATTGGTAAGTACCCAAACCTGCCACCACCGGTGTGACTCCAAGTCTATTCTTTAGTCATTTATTTTCTTCATCTGCAGTGAGGTAACGATGGAGAACTTTAGGGTTGACAGTAATAATTGATCATTTCTTTGTTGTGGTTTATATCAATATGATAACATAATAGTGATGTTACAAATTCTGAAATGCAGGAAGGAAAATATATGTATTTAACAGCTCTAGAATTAGGAATATACACTTTTTTTTGCAAACTTGTTTCTAACAACCTGGTAACTTGCAGACCTTATCTTCTGACATGAATCACGTACTGTAAACAAAAGCCATAAGAACAAGACAGCATACTTTTGAGTCCTTGAGACTTAAGTGTTTGGAAGGTGCAGGTCTTTTTAATAAACAGCACTCTGGTATCATGCATCCTCTCTCCTGTCATCTTCTCTCTGCTGCTGGTATGAAGCAACACACTACTCTACAGGTATTGTTGGTTGAATAGGGATGGGTAGTCTCTGTCTCAACTGATACATATAATTTGCTATATTTGGTCATAGTTAGTTCAAAATTTAACAATTTGCTAACAAGCATAGAGACAGTGGCTAAAGAAGGGCCACAGGTTGATTGTGGGGGGATTGGTCAAATTGTTGTTTTTTTTGTACATTTATGCTGTGGTTGTTCAACAGGTGTTTGATAAATTGCCTCTTGTCTCTGTTCCCTACTTGAGGAAGTTATAAACTGAAATCTGTTACATTTCTGGATTACCTGGAGCCTAAAACTTTCATCCTTCCTCTTTTTTGTCTTTATCAGGCAAGCATTACCATAAAGGTAATAAACAAATACCAAGCAGTGCTAAACACAGAGCAAATGTTTAACCTAACTTGTTGGTGTTGATGTCAAATATCAGAAATACAAGAGCTGCTACTTTTCTCATAATGTGAATCCCACAATTGTCTGCCCACAAAATGTGTACATGCATTTTGAACCTGTGATTCAGGCACAGTACTGGTGTCATATATTCTGATAGTTCCTCTTGGCAGAATATTCAAAATCTATAAGTTAACACAACGGCATGCAGCAACACAAGGTGCCACAGGTAGCAAGGTTCCTTCCAATATATTCTTTCATTGTGGGTTACACCATCACCTCAAACGAAGCCCGCCCCTGCTGACATCACAAAATGTGATACACTGATGATATAAAACACTAACCTTCAGGATAGAAGAGAACATGCTCCATTCAAAACAGCATACGTAGTTCAATGTGAGTGGATATTGTTTATAGGTCATCAACTACAACGTGGATCACGAGATGAGCTGTGTCAAGATCATGGCTTACCACCACAGTCAAACTATTTCCTGGGGGAAACCCTGAGTTACATAATCAAACAAGACAGTTCAGCAAAGTCACTCAGCATGTAATTTACCACTAGCTATGCAGTCTGTTATGGTTTTATGTTTACAAGTTTTGGGATATGCCACTGCATGACACAAGTTCATTTACGTCCACTGTGACGACTGACATTTAGGTAAGACGTATTACGAAACCTGGGCACACAAAACTGAAACTATCAACATAACACCAATGGTAAGATACAAAAGATGTTTTTTTTAATGTTTAAAGGAACAGTCACAGTAAGAATAAATCTCATTGCAGTACCAAAAAACTGTGTTGTTTGATTGCTAATGAATAGCGTAAACCCACCACAAGTGTCACAAATTAAAAAGAAGTACCTTCTCTAAAACGTCCTCCACAAAATACAACTATTTAAATACCACAACAAAAAAGGCACTGCTCAAACAGAAAATCAGCTTGAGAAAACATCTTTTGAATCATATCTGTAACTTATTGCCCAATCTATCCAACCAAGGTGTGGAAGTCCACGGGATACATAACTAACACTGAGCTGTTTCTCAAGAACACATTCAACACAGAACAAATGGTAGTCTTTCATGTACTTTGAAGTACAGCGTTTTCATGAAACTGTGGGTGTCTGTACAATGCCAGACGTTGTTTCATACAAAACACAATACTGAAAGGCTTTGTCACAATTTAAATCCAGTAACGTTCATGTTCAGAGGCACTGATAATGGATCCGGATATGAGCTGAAACTTTTAAGTGTCAGGCAAAAAGTACAATAATATGCCATGGATAAATACATAGGTATATAAGGGTGACACAATTGTTGGATAACCATCACTATCAGTAGCAATTCGTAAAGTGATCCACCGAAAAATGAAACAAAAAACACGTTATAAGTAAAGAAAGGTTCACAGCCACAGTCCTACTCCAGCAAGTACACTGTCACAATAGCGATGCATCAATCTGAGGCAGACAAACATTAACGTTAACTCACCAACGTTTCCATTTACTTGTGTAGCTTTTGACATCAACCTGGTTAGACAACGACAGTGAGCTAATCTTTGCCATCACCCATCTGACAACAAATCAGTGGGCTACGCTAGCTACCGATACAGCGCATTAAGTCAACTTCATCGAAAACCAATGTTTACAAACCGGGCGCTTTTGTGCATCGCTAAGTTAGCAGGCTAAATGACTTAGCCAGATAAAAGAAAAAAATGTACTAGTACACAGTAGAAAGTTGACATTAATTATTAACGATAAATACTGTTAGAAATGGTTGTGAAATAGCGTCTTTATGGCGGCAACGCCAAATTCAGTTAAATAAAACAGGCGTTAGCTACTTGGCAGTTCTGACAGCTAGCTTAGGGAGCTAGCCCCGTTAGCTTTAGGCTAGTTAGCTTAGCCTAGCCATGTAGCACGTGTTCCTGATTTATAAAATAATTAAGTAGCTGACGGTAGCCTCTCAACTACGAGTGTTGTGTTGAGCCGAGTAACCAGCTAGTCGAACAGTTCATCAACATTTCATTTCCTAATGTTTTTTCCAACCGTGTAACTGTATCGTAACGTATAGACTGGAAAAGGTCAATACTGCTATGGATGTTTCTCCTCCAAAGAATAGCCGGACCCCGTCATCCAACAACAGAGCAGACCCCCCCAAACCAACGGACAGCCAGCGATGGAAGCTAACTAACCTTAGCGGCGGGGCAACAGAAACCATTCGGCGGTGTTATCGTACAGTAGCCAATGTCCCAATCCTCGTCAATCGTCCCAGTTTAGCTTAAAGATCTTCTCGCTTCGACTGAACGTCTCGCCCCTGGATTAATCCACATGAAAGAAGAGTTTTCGTTTTCATTTGTTCCGCTAGCGGTTTTCAGCTATGTCGTGCCTGTTCCTGCACAACACAGTGGTCTGGTACTACTCCCTGAGCCGCTGCTGCTGCTGCTGCTGCTGCTGCTGCTGAGACCATAGCGGGGCTGAACCGCCTCTCTCTCTCTCCATAGGTCCACAGGCTCTCTCGCCCCTCCTCTTTACTCAAGGACTGCACATTTCCCATGCCCACAACAAATTCAGTGTAAATAGTGATGAGGTGTTAAAGTCAGTGATTTTCACAAGGCACCACAGCACAAATCTGGTTCTGAGGTTTGTGTCCTTGCTAATCTCTGCATATTAGCTCGCATGTCTGATGTGTATTCATGCTGCGGACCTTCACATATTTCTGTGTATGCAAACATGATCATATGTCTGTGTACATTTTGTAAGTGATAGTGTAAAAAAATGTACATTGCACAACTGGTCCTTTACACACATTATATTTCCATCATAGTGTTATTACAGTGTAAATCATTTACACCCATTCAGCTTTTAAACTTTTTTTTTTTAAACAAATGTAAGTTAACTGCACTTTGGTTGTAATTAGTTCAAAGTGTAAAACTAGTCGAGTTAAATCAAGATATTACGTTAAACCAACTAGTCCCAGCGGTTACAATGGTAACAGACAGATTTGCTTGGATTTGCCAGTTTTTAAGTTAAGTTGTTTTTTTTTCTAAATCAGTTGTTGAAGCTATTTATGACCAGTGTCGGTACAAAGACAATCTGTGAGGCTGCTCCCACTTACACCGCAATAAATAGCAAGTCCATGGACTGAATTCAATGCTAATTTTGGTCATTCATGCTTTGATTGTCATAAAATGAAACAATCTTAATTTAGTTAAACATGTATGTATTAAAGACACACAGCAAATCAAAACACAAAAAACAAGAGTCTGTGGGGAGTTGTAACTCTTTAACAATGCATCCCAGGAAGTCTGTTTATGAGCTAGTTATGTTTCTTAGAAAACTTAATTTAACCAGTTAAGTAAACTCTCAGCCGTTCATGGATTTAACTCTTTATTTTAGGTCAAAATGCTACCAGATGCAAAAACTTGTTTTTAAGTTCTTGTTTACAGAGATCTTAAAGTAACATTTTAAGTTAAATTAAATAGAAATGAGCAAAATTCATATATTTACATTAGGTAAACCATAAAAAGTTGAGTTGATTCGTATAAATTCTTGTGTATTTTACAGCGTAGTAACGCAGACTGCAAATGTTCCACAAAGCAACTGCATGTAAGATAGATAGATCAGCAGACAGATACACATTACCATATTAAACTTTAATGGTGTTGTAAGCTTGTATTGTCTCTCTCACACTACAAGGCCAGCCCCCTTCCTCCAGTCTGAGCTCAGAGGGTCCAGAAAAGTTTCAACTCAAGCATCGACACTCCAGGAAGTCTACATCTGTGCTGCTTGATTCCCATGGAGAAGTACAAGCTGTGAATACAGTGACTTAACATTGAAGGATAGCATTTGGGAGATCACAACATCCCATGCTGGGTACATAGTTGATGACTCTGCTGAAGCCAGTGCCCTGTAAATGGCCTGAAACCTCTCTCTCTCTGCTTCACACAGCTACACCGGCTTCTAACATCGCCACCCATACTGCAGCTATTTCACTCACAGAAAGGATTTGGTGTAAGAAATCGGACTGACTTTTTGTTTGCGTTAAGTCGATGGAGCTTATTAGAGGAAGAAATCTGCTGCTACATAATCCTGGGTTTGACAGGCTATGATAATTGGTTTCACTTCACTTCATACTGCATAATTTTGATTGTGTATTATATTATTCCACTAGGACAAGACTTCAGCAACCTGAATTTGCCATATAACTATCTCGCACACTTCACACAGGCTATATCTTGACCTAAATTTCCGCTGCAGCCTTCCCTTGTGATGTCAAATGGGATTGTTTTTCTTCCCTGTGTTTTTTTTTCTGCTCTGTGGTTTGGGAGACCCCCTCTAACCATCAGTACAACCACCATCTCTTCATCCAGCCATTACAGAGCAGGAAAGATAACTGTTTATTTCAGCTGGGCTTTCTGGACCACTACGCATGTCTGAATAATCTATCCCCTATCTCTGCAATGCCCAATTTGTCAGCTTGGTGATAAAACACAAATGTTTCTCACTTGCCAGTTTTGATGTCAACAGCTGTGTTTCATCTGCAGCCAAATTCCCCATAGAGTTAAACAAAGCTTCAGACAAAGGCCAAATGGACAGATGAACTCTCTCAAGATCCTAAAGTCTCAGTAAATACTTGTGATTTGGACAACTTTCAATATTACAAAATAAATTTGCAACCCACTTTAGGGGGAAGCACCTGTACTATGTCTTCTGCAAGTTATTAAAATAACTAGAGAGGATTGTTTCAATAGATCCGGAGCCGACATGAAAGGCACCACGTAGAGTGACTGCATCAACTAAGCAGACTTTGGAGATTTCAAAGGGCAGCAGTTGATAGATGCACTGCAGACGTTCATTACGGCTCTGAAATAAAAGATGAACAACAGAAAATCCTTTGTAACCGAGAGGAGGCTGCAGGGAAAATCCTCATCAAAACAGTAAGTCTTAAAAGATGAGCTGCCATCCGGAGTCTACCAGATTAATGGAGCTCCCCTTTATGATCGGCTTTGATTGCAAATTCAAATACTCCTGCGCAGGTGCCATCCTTCAAAACTATGGCTGATTACAAACACATTATTACATTTGAGCATTCTTCCTTTTCTATCGTCCTCATGGGTAAGACATACAGTTAGACTTGGACTAATTGGATTCAAGCACACTTAAACTGCAAAGTATGTGTGCTCTAATGAACAAGAATATCTCTAATTGAAATTCATTTCTAATGTGATTTTTAGATGAAAGTGATAGATACTATGTGGCACGTGTTTCTATTTATAACACTAGTATAATTACATGCCAGGTTCTTCCTTTCGCTATGATGTACATTTTTAGCTGAGACATGATTCATTCTGCCACCGCTGGCATTTATTATTGTCACGACTGGGCTCCAGTGAAACAGCCTGGGAAAATTATCTTTCTCTGCAGATATCAGAGGCAGATGGAGAAAGAGAAAGCGAGAGAGGAGCCTGTTTTTTTTTTTTTCTTATCTGCTCAATCATGACACTATTTTCCTCCTATCATTCACAAATCAAATTTACAGTGCAAAGCCGAGGCTGAGATTTCTTCACAGTCACAGGACTTCTCCTAACTGCCTCCTCCTCGCCACAACAAAGACAGCACAGAGAGCAGAAATGGCAGCACCTCACTGAAGAGTCTAACGACTGCCTGCATTGTTGGAATTCCGGCTTAACTTCCTGAGTCTGTCCACACCTGGCCAGCCGCCAGCACACGCTTTTCTCTCATTTTTCCCTTTCCTTCCTTTTATCAAGATCATATGTAGACTAAATTTTACTGTTGAGACATAATATGAGTCTTTCCAGCCTCACCCATGTAAGTTGGATGATGTGCCGTGTCTTAGTTACATCACATATCTGTGTAATTTAACAGTGTTTCAACGCTGGTACAAGCTGGAATCTGTGCAGAGAAGAAATCCTTTGAAATGCGTTTGATGTGCTTTTGATTTAGCCTTCACACCAAAATAATCAACTGTCGCCCACTTCTGTAGGCGCTTCAGTAACAAATTTAGATCCTTAATAACCGCTATGTGTTATCTATTTTCATGTAGAAAATATTGCTTGAATTTCCTCCGTGTTACTGGCTGCTGTGGGCGTGACAGACATATTCACACTTGTCCGGTGTCCAAGTGAACCCCTGTAATGAAACTGGCAGTGGCACAGCATCGCTGGAGCTTAGCTCAGTCAACCATCTGTTAGGTTGCATGGATTCATGCGGAGTACACTAAAGTGGACCTTGTATGGACATGTTCCAGCACGACTGACATGACATCAATGTTCACCATGAAACCATAAAAAAAAAGAGCCATTCCTTCTCTTTCTAATGGAAAACGCATGTGAGGAGATTGTAATTCACAGCCTTTCATGTCTAATTCAGGTTTCAGTGCTTTAAATAAATTAGATACAGATACGTGATACAGCATATATTATGCATGTATATCAACATTTACATATGGATCAAATTTTAGCATCAGTAAGGCTTCTCAGAAATATTAGCTAGTCAGCTAAGGTATTTGCTCTCTGGTTGAATGCCACAACGTCAAAAGACAGCACCAACAGCAATAACACTGATGCTTTGTATAGAGAAAATCAGGTCATGGTGTTGTGGACTTTCCTCAATATGGGAGATGAGCTATAAACCTTGGCAGTTGAGATAGTGATGAAAGAGCTAAAGGGAATCAAAGTAGCATTCTGCTGGTGTTGATGTAGAAGCGAAGCGAATGCTTGTTCAACTCAAGCAGAATGAATCGTGTCTGCAGACTAATAATGGACACCATCTCTGACAGAAAAGAAATGTGATTCTGTGGTGAAGACACAAGTTCAACTAGTCCTTTCCAGTGAGGACAAATAAGGAATTCCTTTCTCTTTCCTCAAGGACAAAGGCGGTCTTGGCTGCAGTTTTCTCGCTGAGTGGCTGAGCTGTAAGCCCAGAGGTGAATTGTTGCTGATCAGCCAACTCAAATACAGCTCTGCAGGAAGTGCTGAGCTAGATGGACTTGCATCTAATGTTAAAAGCCCAGCCGGTGCTGAGTCCTTCACCACTTCAGAGCACATCGCTATCTATCCAGCCCGTTTTCAATAGTAAGATTACCGGCTGTGGGCTCACTTTCACATAAACTAGACTTAGAAGAGGACTGGTTCCAGGAAAGGTGTGTGGGAGGTAGAGTATTTCCAGGAAAAAAAGGGAGGAAAGAAGGACTGGGGTGTGTACGGGTTGCCATAGCACTATATAAAGGAGGAAGAAGAAGAATAGCAGCATTTTCAGTGGGAGGATGGAAAGGGGAGGGAAGAGTGCAGAACCCCCATAAATAAAGCTAATGAAATGGCAGTTGAGTCTGGAGAGAGGTGGAATGGCTGGTTGGGTCTTACCCACTGTCTGATTTATCCTCAGTGTCCCTGTGAGCACAGTGGGGGGATCCATTACCTCACCTCATCAATAACATCCC